CTTTAATGGTTGTGTGGGTGTCTATGTATCAAGAAACTCAAAAGCTTCCTTGCTAGTACAACAAGCATTCAGTCCCATTCAACATTTAATGCAACTGATATATAACAGAGTTCAATAATGTAGGGCATCCCAAAAACTTGATGGTTAGTCCTAGGTATTTGAACAGGGCAAAATAGGTCTGACAGAGAAATAAGAGTGAGATACAGCATCAAGCCTCACCTAACAAAACAAGGAATTCTCACATTCCAGTACAAACCTTTGTGGAAAGACCGCCAACCACCAAACATCTGATCTCTGTCATAAATTGGGCAAGTTTCATACTCATGCTATGAACCCTCAGAAATAGGGAGATAAACCAGATAATAAATTGACTAAACTCAAAAACAGAGGAAATCAATTGGAAAGCAAAATTTAGTTTTCAAGCAACTTTCAAGATGTGTTAACCTTTGTACCAACCATTCTTTGGATACCTAGTTTTGCTTTATTAAGATCTTTTCATTAGGATATTGATTTTCCACTACCCAGTGGAATAGAAACTTAATGTTAGGCTAATCTTAAAGCCGGTAACGCAAAATAAGCAAATGAGTGTACGTATTTTAATCATGGTTCAGCATCTTAACACCTCATTTAACCAGTCTAAATCTTAAAACTTAGAAATGAGGATTTTGCATTGTCTTCACTCTGTTGTGAACGGGTTCAAATTTAGAAATGCCTATCCCAGATTCATGTCATGAAAAATTCTTCAACGTGGAGGGAAAAGAAACACCAAAGTGTAAGTGTGAGATCTCAATACGTTCTTGTGGGAAATAGAATGAGAATTGGGAACAAAAATATACATCAATAGTCCAAAGATAATAGCTAAATAACACAGAAAAATGATGTGAATGTATCATATGGTATGCATGTCATGTGTACTTCTTTGAGCTTCTTAGAAGGAGAAGATACAATTGTTTGATCCATAAAAACAGCCAAAAGGTAAAAACAAAGTACCAAAACATGTATCCACAGACACAAACATTTAAATAACAAAATCAGGCGCACACGTAAAATAACTTGAAGTGGCACTTACAGAACAGCCAACTCCGTTGTTGGTGTAAGAATTAGGACCCTAATAGCATGCCTATTCTTTGGACGATATAACAGTCTCTCCAAGGTTGGAAGGGCAAAAGCAGCAGTCTGAAAGGTAAAGATCAATAAAATCATCACTTACATAAAAAACGCATCTTTATGACCAAAACATAAATAAACATCCAAAAATCTCTTATTACGATATAAAAAGTTCAAAACAAGAAAAAGATGAACAATGTATGTCCTTTCAAGCATCACAATCAACCAGCACTACTTATTGCTAACAAATTATTCTTCTTGTCATCAGCTCATTATGCAATGTACCTTTCCAAAACCAGTAATAGCACTTCCACATATATTACGACCGGTTAAGGCCAATGGAATACAAGCAGCCTATGATAAAAAGGAAAAAAGAAAGATCAACTTGAATCACCAAGAGCTAAACGCCATAACTCAATCCATCCAGATTCTAAAGGGAAGAGAAAAACTATAAAACAATTAAGAACCTGGATTGGGGTGGGCTTACTATAGCCCAAAGCTTCACAAGCCCGAAGCAGCGGCATGGAAATATGAAGCTCTAAAAACGAATTTGCAAGGAAAGACACTCCTTCCACTGGCGAAAAGAACGACTTACCATCATTCCCACTCGTTGTTGGGCCTCCATCCTCTTCCTCCTCCTCGTCCTGCCTGTATTTCTCCTAAACAAGCAAAAAATGGCAATAACAAGAAGAAGCATAATTACTCCAACACCCACTCCCGAATCAATACACAAATTTGATGTTCTCAATCAAAAGGATGTTATTCATTACTTGGTGGTTGGGTTTCGAATTGGAATCGGGATTTTCTTCAGAGTCCGTACTGGTGGTGGGTATAGGATGGCGCAAACGGGCATTGAAAATTTTCTACAGTGGAGGTGGTGCTGCGCCGGAACTGTTCATCAGCCATTTAAAAAAGATAATTATATTATATTTTTAATTTTATGTAAATTTACTGACATATATAAAATTAAATAAAATATATCACTTTTTCACTGTGTTTTGAAAGGATCATCTAGACATCTCCTGCGCTCGAAATTCGAGCAAAACGTTTCGCTTCTCGTTTAGAAACTTTTTTTAATTTTTAAACGGTTGAATTTTGTCTTCTTCTCCTTCGACTTTCCTAAACAAGCTTTTTTAGTTTTTTTTTTCTTTTTTTCAAAAGTCTTTCATTCGATTTTATCTTATTAAATTTTTTTATTTTTTAAAAAACTTTTCATTGAGACTTTAATTTCAAATTTTTAAAAGATTTTATCTGTCAAAAGTTAAAAATAACTTTATCTAAATAGTTAAAATAAGATTTAATATCTGGTACCATCTACATTATGTAATTATAACTTTGAAATTTGTTATTTTATTACAAACTCCAAAATAAGATTTGTCTAGTTGAAAATTAAAAATATGAATAATATTTTAATTTTTGCATTTCGAAACTTGAAAATTGTACAATTGACTAATGAAAGAAATTATTAAGCAAATATAGTATTTTATAATTTTAAATATTTGATAAATATTATTAAAATGATTAAAATTTTAAAATAATATTAAAAATAAGAAAACATTTTTTTACTCCTAAATCTCATATGGGGTCGCTTAAACTCGTAAAACTTGAAACTTCGTCACCAAGCCTAATCACATTTTACATTTTTTTAAAATATACTAGTTTTTCATTAAATTCTCTTGTGTCTTTTAATGTTCTTTTAGAATTTGTGTTTAACTAAAACTTTAATACTTATAAAATATCTTCCTCAACCAAAATCAAAACTAAAAAAAGAGTCCTGAAGTGGATTGTTGACTCCCCGTTAAAGAAAGTTTTCAGAGGCATTCCTTGTGTTTGTTTCAGCACTTACATATTTAATGCAATGCATTTCATCAGAATTTATAGGTTTTTCTCTTTTAAGTATGTGCAGATTAAGCATCTGTAAATCACGTGCTCTTGATTCTTGAATGGCTTCTAAATCTAAATCTCAGTTGAGTTAGCAGTCCTTGGTCAGAAATTGATATTCATGAACGATCATGATGAGACTTATGAAAACCTGAGACAGCTAGATGGTCTGCCTTGGTGAATGTCTCTCTCTTCCCAACCTTCATGTATCAATTATTGACTTCCCATTTTATAAGATCGTTCGAAATCCTATGAGAATCAAATGCTTGTAAGCTGAAGTCCCTAGAATTGATAAGCAGAATACATAATATATTTCATGTTGAAATACATAGTGACACTCGTGTATTTTATAGGAACTTTGTGCAATATCTTTATTTGATTTGACGTTTGCAGAATGCCTTGTGACCCCTTCCAATCGGTAGCTTCGCGGTCATGGCCCCTCTACACATCACTGTAAAATGGATTTTTTTTAGATGGAAGATGTCCATGGAGACTCACCTAAGTGCAAAATTGAAACATTATGGACAAAAATACCAAGAAAAAAATGGTGAAGAGGAACCGAGTGCTACAATATAAAAAGGGGGAGGACGTAATTCTCCCTTTCGAGAAACATGGTATTAGGCTATTAGCAATCAACTTGCCACAATATATCCTATCCTACTCTATTAAAAGAGTGA